CTAATTGTAGTCAGCAACATAACGTTTTCGTTACTGCGCATGCGATAAATCTCCAAGAATCTTGGAGATTTCATCGTATTTTACCAGGGTCTTCCTCAGCTCACGCGCCACCACGAGGAAGACCCTGGGGACGAGGTTGCAAAAACGGCATACTCTGAGTGATGTTTTTTAATTTCAAAATGGCGCGTGTTTATTTTTGTTCGTCGAAAAACTGAAAATACAAATGCAATTTGTGAAAAAACTGCGGGTCTACGGAGCGGCAACTTTTCGGATTTGAATTCAGCGTGTTCGAAAATGTTAGTTACCGTGAAAATATTTCAGTTCCACGACATGCTTAATGAAAGTGAACGATATCGGGTCACGGCAAACGGAGTTGGCAAACGGCCTAAATTTTCTATATACATTTTTTTTTTTCGGTCGGCTATTGGCGATGCTTCCGCGAGGAATATGACATACTCTTTTTTATTATAAATATGAACTTCAAAATTTCCAACGTTTCTCAAAAAAACTTTTTTTGCATGAAATTGAAATATTGATAATTTTAGCGCGTTTTTCTTGATATTTGAGTGTTTGCAATGCAAGGAAGGCGTAATAATATAAATGTATAGGTATAGAACTGGTATGGTATTACGAATGTATAGACTGCTGTTTGTATCAAATTATTTTCTTTTTTATATTCTGCAAAGATAAAAACTATCGAATGTTTCCATGATGTTTACCGAGAAACGTCACAGCTGCCAACCCCCCAAACGAACATATGACGTTTCTCGTGGAAAAAATCGATATGTGAGGCTTCCCTAACAATGTGTGCTGTAATTGTGCCGACAAGAATAGTAATTTATTAGACTTATTATAGAAAGTTGATTCAGTTCGCGAGCGATTTAATATTAGTAGTAGAAGTTAATCTAATTGAAAAGAATCAGACAACTGTAACCGCGAAGCAGAGAGGCGGCGATTGTGATCAACGAGAAGACATCGCCAGAGTTCAAAATCCGGTAAAAATACGCGTTGTTTTCTCAACAAATGATTTTGTATTAATAATCAGTAACAGTGCCGCCCAGAGGGGGGGGGGCAAAGGGGGCAATTTGCCCCGGGCCCCGAGTTGCTGGGGGCCCCTGAAAAATTTTTGTAGGGGCCCCGCCTTTTTTGTGTGTTAAATATTTCCGCGCAAAGGACAAGATATCTGTTTTCTTGGGCTAAGTACCGAATTTTGGCATAAAAAATGAGATAAAGTCCCTCGAAAGCATTTGCAACGTACTCGTCTGGCAAAATTTTGTACTCCGGAAAAAATTTTTTACCCCTAAAATGGTACACTGACCGAAAGTTGTTATCCGGAAAAATTTTTTTCCGGGAAAATTTTTTTAGATAGGGGCCCCTAAAAAAAAATTTGCCCCTGGCCCCCGCCAACCTCTGGGCGGCCCTGCCTGCAGGTAAACTGAGTTGATGAGAGCTGGCAAGCGAGAGTTTTCATTAGAGTTTTCTCAACTACCCCGGTCAAACGAGAACAAGAGTTGCATAAGAGTTGACAAGCGCGAGTTTGAATGAGAGTTTTCTCAACTACCCCGGTCAAACGAGAGCAAGAGTTGCATGAGAGTTGACAAGCGAGAGTTTGCATGAGAGTTTTCTCAACTACACCGGTCAAACGAGAGCAAGAGTTGCATGAGAGTTGGCCAGCGAGAGTTTTCTCAACTACCCAGGTCAAACGAGAACAAGAGTTGCATGAGAGTTGCCTGGATATTACCGTCGTGGACGGTTGGCGGTCAGATGGGAGTTGCAACTGCTTTGAGCGGGTCCTTACTGGACTTCTGGGAAGAACATGTTAGAACAGCTGATAAAGGATAAATACTTCTCTCTTTCAGCTTCGTCTAAGGGAATTTTCCGATCTCAGTGAGGTTGAATCATCGACGTCGCATGAAATGCGCGATGATACACGGGAATCAAGCAGCGTCAACATTGAAACATTCCGTGACAATGCCGAAGTACTAGCATCGGACGAAGCACAAGAACTCGACCCTCAACTCTCTGAACAGGAAAGCGATACCGCCGACACAAACGGTAAGAAACGGCAGTGGGTTAGAGATGGGTGACCCGCCCAGACGACCTGATCGTCTGATAGCTAGTCTGTGTGTTAAATTGTTAATCGATAAAATACAGCTAATTCAAAAAAGGTTGTTCTTTACAAACCTTACTAAGTTCAACATTTTTATTTTTCGATACGTTTCTCAATCGGCAAACAAACTTAAAAAGTATGTTTAGTGCCTTATCTGTAAAATAATGCTAAAATGAAGAGATTTTAGATGATACGCCAAAGAGAAAATGATGTCTGAAGTTCAGTAAGTTTTGCTAATATGGCTTAAATATGCATGGCGTCAATTTTAAAGCATCATTGATAATTGTATTTTAATTGACAATTTTTAACTATTATTTTATGTTTCTCAACCGGCAGATGCATTTAAAAAGGTAGATAACTGTATAAACTAGAGAATAAAGCAAAAACAAAGCGAGGAACGCCAAAAAGGTTTTAGGCTTTGAACACTTTTCATTGTAAATACGTGACATTGAAAAAAATTGCCTCTTAAGATACATAAGAAAAAATTGAACCATGCAATTATAAATCTCTTTTGTCTATTTTCAAAACTTTTCAGAATCGACACCTTTACCTACCCCGCCTGAAGATAACCCTACTCCCCACAACACTCCACTCCCATAGTTCCCAGTCCCCCGCCGACTTCTCCTCCCTCTCCTCCCTACGAAGGCTGGGCGCATGCGCTGGAACGCGCGCGCGCAGACGGGAGCATTCAACGACAATTAATGCGGGAAAAAATGGCCGAAGAACGAAGGAAAAAATTAGCGATGCTCGACTCGAAAAGAAAAAGACGAAATACAGAACAAACAGCTATCACAGAAAACTTGGACGAGTTGGGTAGGCACGGCATCCCTCGTTCCCAGGGCTTCTCGGATGACTACCAATAAGAGATAATCCTCACTGGGCCTCCAGGAAGAACAGTTTAGAACTGATAGAGCTATCCAGTATAAATAAAGTTAGTTTAGGTTTCCTCCTGTAGTAACACTGGATCAATAAGAGAGGATTCTTACTGGACCTCCAGGGAGAACAGTTTAGAACTGATAGAGCTATCCAGTATAAATAAAGTTAGTTTAGTTTAGGTTTTCTCCTGTAGTAACACTGGATCAATAAGAGATGATCCTTACAGGACTTCTAGGGAGAACAATTTAGAACTGACAGAGCTATCCAGTATGAATAATTCTTCTAAATTCGTCCACTGATTTTTGTTTAGGAAACTTCTTAGAGAAATACTGTATTATCAAAAAACCAGATCTAACCATTTATAAAAATATCTTTGAGAAGGTAGGTGTCTTACCCTCAGCATTAGTTTGGGTTCGTTTCTTTTGTGAGATATTCAGGAATAGATTTTCTTCAGTAAATATTTTGAGTTTCGGACTCCAATTGGAGATTTGTTTATCACTAACTACTTTTATCAACAGTTTGATGAAGATCGCGATGGGTTTCTGTGGCCTGAAGAAGTTTTGGAAGCTTTGGAAAATGTCAACGCAAAACTTTTAAATGACGCACATTTGCGCTATGTATTTCGGGTACGTCAAAC